GATTGATTCATTTCTTGTGTATGTATCTGGAGAACTCGAATAAGGAAATGAGTTTATATCATTCTTAGAATATGAAGGGAATTCATTACAAGGAAGCTCTGTACGAAGTATGGAATCTAATATGTCAGCACAGTTTTTTTTACTATGATGCTGAACATTTTCATTTTCTGCATTAAGATTATCCCTTTGGTATTTCTTCTTCTTTCCCCTTGTTCTTTTCTTCTTTTTATGTGTGGATCCATGATCACGATTCTCTTTACATTTTCTATTCTTCTTTTTTATCATCCGTTTATCTAATTTTTCCTCTCCAGAAAGTGGCATATCACTAATTTCTTTACCTTCTTTCTTTTTCTTAATGTCATCAAAATTATAATTTATCAAACCATTTTTTTCTTGTTTTCTTTTTTTCCTTTTTAGTTTTGATGTATCTATGGTATCATCTATATTGCATAAAATAGCTAATTGATGTGTCAAATCATTTATTTTTCTTTTACGTTTCTTCTCACTCCTAGATTGTTTTAAGATACCTTCTTCTTCTTCTTCTTTGGAAGAAAGATTAAGAGGTAGGGTTTCCTCATCTGTGTCGCACAGATTTACTTCAGATTTATTCATTTGCATTTGTAAGAAATTTTTCTCTTGTTCTTCTACTCTTTTCAATTTACCATTTAATTTTAAACCGTGCCTAGCTCCCTTGTGAGCAGTTCTACCATTACATACTTTAAACAACTCTTGGTCTGTTAAAAAAATTGATTTAAAATTCTGTTCATTTTGTTCTACTTCAGGAACATTTGAATTATGTTCTTGTACCAAGGTACCATTAAATAGCGTGGAAGTTTTGAGGAAATTTCCATAGCTGAATTTATTTTGAGGTAAGTGCTTAGGCAACTCATTTTTATTTTCTTTTGAAACAGATATGGATACACCTTGCGATTGTGATTCAACCATAATGTTGTTAGCTGCATCATTAAAACCAGTTGCCCACCACTCATTACAGTCTTCATCTTTGTGTCCTATTCCAACTGAATCAAATTTAAGTTTCGGTCTTAATGCGTTTGCGATACCGTTTTCATCTTTTCCTAGACCTTTACCTGTTTCCACGCGGTATAGTAAATAATTGTTAATAATTGTAGAAAAGTAATTTTTACTAAAATATCATAACTTATTTGAAATCGTACCTTCTGTCCAGCCGTATTTTAAAAGTTGTGCTTTTGCGAAATCCATTATTTTAACATATCTCTCCAAGTAACTTAAATATTATAGACATAGCCTAAAATCACACAGAAGACGTGACTAAGTTTTTCGTAACAATGAGGTTGAAGAACCTAGTGAATCAAAACTAACATTGTTTTCCAAGATTACTCCTGCGCCCATCGCACGAGGGCGTTGCGATAGAATTGCACGTGGAACATTTCCCAATTCGCAGTAACTTTGTCCAATTTTCATCATTCAAGAAATGCTTTCCAAATTTCTGAATAATATTTAATATTTACAACCTATATATAATAAAATGAACTTTCATTCCTCTCTGTAAAATACACGTTATTTAAGAATAATCGATGTTGTTAATATTCTCATTTTTGTTAAATATCCGAAAAAGCGTAGATAATGTGTACATATAATAGTCATAGGATTTTTAATTAGTTACATAACTATTCGACAGATGAAAGGTTTACAATAATCACTTAAAATATTCAACTTTCTTGTCATCGAGAGCTATAATTGCGTACACTAATTAACGCAACCATTGTACCTATAGTCACTCCAGAAAAAGATGTTCAACACTGCGTCGTTCAACAACTCGTTGATTTGACGTTCATGCGCCAACTGTTCATGCACAATGTCTTTATGATATGCATCTTGTTAGTATCAAACGTTAACACGTACATTTGCTATGATAATTTCATCCACCCCACCATTATACAGCAGAATTTATTTAGTAGATATTACCGACATTGCGCGATGCCAGGGAAATGAATAATCTTGTTGAACGGTGTGTGTTTCACAAAAAAATGCGCTTTTAGTGCAACATCAACGGCATCGTACGAATATTAAATAATATTTCTCAGGAGAACAGGTTTGTGCACTTTATTCTTTTATAAACGCGTGAGTTTTGTCATCGAAAAATTTCATTCACTTTCGCGTGTGCGAGTTTCATAGTAAACGTCTTATTTTGTTTTTGCTACGTTCTACTTTGGCGTTTAATCTCAGTAAAAAAGCGCGTACAGTAAGATTGCTTAATGAAACTTTATTACTTGGTTGTGCGTTTTTGTTGTTTTATCAAGTATGATAATTTAAAACTAAAAGATCAAAAGGTTCATGATTGCAGTTAACTGTGTGTGTGTGTTTCAAATACTGACATTCTCAACAGTAATTGAATATTTTTGATTTGATTTAGGTGAATAATAATAACAAGTGTAAAATGGCACTTCGTGAATTGGTCGAGGGTGACTGTGGTGGACCTAGCTCTTTGATCCACCTGACATCACATTTTGTACGTGATCATGGATTCAAGGAAGAAGGAATACATCATCCGTTTGGACATGTGGAGTCATTTCAGCCTATAGATTCAGATCAGTTAGTTAAACAATTTTTAGAAGAAAATGCTTCATGTCCTCAGACATTTAGAATGGATAATTTATTACAAGAAATGCGAGAGATTGATCACAACATTCATCCACCTATAGCAGCACCAGGAGTAGCTCAAGAATTAACTGGTTTAGACACAGCTTGGGCAAATCAGTATCTTGAGTCTGGACGTCACTTTAGTGTAATCATTCTTGTCATATTAATGGAGTATTTGGTATTGACATTAGAATTTGAGAAAATAAATCTTTCTACTTCTCCCGTACTGTAGGAAAACCATACCGATGATATATGGCAACCTGATGTGGAACCTGTTGTGATCCCAAATAGTGCAACTCCACAAACACATGAATTAGGGTTAGGACCGAAATGGGCTGAAGAGTACATAGAACACAGCATAGATGCAATACAAACTGATATCAACAAAGAAAACACAACAGAGACAATAGAAAATGATTTATCGTATTCAAAATTTATGAAATTCATGAAACAAGAGGGAGACGAAGAGTTGGCAATTGCTGGTAATGGGATAGACGAATTTCAGAAAGATAATCCATCTTCAGGTTCATTCATAGAGTCATTTTAATTTATTGATATATTTTTCAGAAGTTTTTAGCTAATCATTTGTATTTTAGAAGCAGACAATGGCGATTCCGCATTTTTAAGACTACAGAACGAATGGGAGAAAATATCACCTGGTGAAAAGGTATCCAGCAAACATCCATGGTTATCAGAATACGATACATACTATGATCCATTTAAAGATTATGAATTTCACGAAGAAAATCCTATGAAAGAAGTACCCAATCCATTAGAAGAGGGGAAGAGAAGATTAGATGCTGGAGATTTACCGAGTGCTATCCTTTGTTTTGAAGCAGCTGTGAAACAAAATGAACACAATTCAGAAGCTTGGTTGCTCCTTGGAAAAACTCGAGCTGAAAACGAGCAAGATCCATTAGCGATTTCAGCTTTAAAACGCTGTCTGATTCTTGATCCTATGAACAGCAACGCCTTAATGGCTCTCGCTGTATCATACGCAAATGAATCTTATCAAAATCAAGCATGTTTAACTCTAAAAGAATGGTTACTAAAAAATGAGAAATATAAGCATCTTTCGTCAAAAAAAGCTAACACTGATGAACAGCCAAAATCTAATGTCTCGTCGATTTTATTCGAGTAAGAGCGTAGCTTATTGAAAACAGGACGTAATATATGAAGTTGTTATTAAGACAAAGTTATATTTTCTCTTTGCAGTGATGTACACGAAGAAGTGAAAAGTCTTTATATTCAAGCTGCACGGATGAATCCACGGAACGAAATAGATGCTGATGTTCAATGCGGATTAGGAGTACTTTTTAATTTGTCCAATGAATATGATAAAGCTTGTGATTGTTTTCAGACAGCGTTACACGTTCGTCCCAATGTATGTATAATGAATTACATTATATTCAAGTAATTCTAGTTTGCTGTATTGAAAATATCGTATTTTTAAAGGATTCCAGATTATGGAATAGATTGGGTGCAACTTTAGCCAATGGTCAGAAATCGGAGGAAGCTATAAACGCGTACCATCGTGCCTTGAAATTATCTCCGGGATTTATTAGAGCACGTTATAATCTGGGGATTTCTTGCATAAATCTTAACGCATACACGTAAATAACATCCATTGTCAAGTTATCGACTATTTTATTTTTAAATAAGTACAACATTTTTCTTTGTTATCTTGCAGAGAAGCTGGTGAACATCTATTAACTGCTTTAAATCAACAAGCTGCTGGTCGTGGAGCGCATGGTGAAAGTTTGTCGCCAAAAGCGATGTCAAATACCATTTGGTCAACACTAAGACTTGTTATCTCGTTGATGCACAAATACCATCTAAACGATGCCATAGAAAGCAGGTACGATTCAAACAGTTGCCGCGAGTCTTATGAGAATATTTAATATCAAATACATACGTTATAATATTAAATAATATTCTTTGTCTATTTTTAGAGATTTGGCGAGGTTGAATAAGGAATTTGAAATTGTATGAAGGTATGCAAACTTGTTGAAGCTACTTGTTGAAAAAGTATAAACAGTTTTTAGTTTTTATGGTAACAGAAATAAAATGCTTAAAAACTATTTTCCAATAGTTCGAAAATGTGTATATAAACATCGATTAGACTCATAATTTTTAGATATTTCATTGCTACGAGAGTGGGTAATTTAACAATATTATATACCCGATTATGATATTTTATATTTTTTAGAAGTTGTTTTGATTCAATATTACTAACAGGTATACAGCTCCTATCGTTTCATTTTATATAAATTGAAAATGGGTTATATAAATTATATGTACATAAAATTGTTATGGAATCAATAAAATCGAATTAATCCCTGAGGAAAATAATTAACTATAGATATTTTTAAATATACGCGAATTAGAAAAATCTCCGTGCATCTATCAGATAAAATAACGTCGTTATAAAAGTGTAATTATACAGTAAAGNTTTATATAAATTGAAAATGGGTTATATAAATTATATGTACATAAAATTGTTATGGAATCAATAAAATCGAATTAATCCCTGAGGAAAATAATTAACTATAGATATTTTTAAATATACGCGAATTAGAAAAATCTCCGTGCATCTATCAGATAAAATAACGTCNGTTCAGAGATTGATGATTAGAAAATACTACATTATATGATCAACGAATTTAGTGAAAAGTAACTATCCTTAGCGTTATTAGTTTCCCTAAACGCGCGTCATCTTACCCTCAGTAATTAAAAAATATGAACGATTTGTAAATAGATCATTGAAATTATTTAATCTAAAGCAATCCATAGAATAAGAACATGTAGCACTATGAATTCTCGAGTTTTATTTGTCCAGTTTCGCATAAACTTCCGATAAATAATTCTGTTTTGACATCGGCTAAGGGAAAGATAACATTCGTCTAGACACAATATAATATATCTATATAGAACATCTCAACAATCGGTTATAATATGAATTCATTTTATCTATAGTATTTGTCTTCGATTTTTGACATTTTTTTGATAAAACTTTGTCCATAGAAATTTTGTGCGTGGCTAAAATCAGTCTAAAGAAACAGAAACATATCAAACAATTCGATCAAAGACATGTGCAATCTTCAAAATATCGTAATAATGACTAGACTGTAAAGATACTTGTAAAAATTGTGCATCAGACAACAGTTGTTTGCAAAATTACCATAAAATTATGTAAAAAGGTATCCACGAATACGAGACTAATACGCGAGGAGGAATGAATAGTCGATCGAGTTTAAAGAATAGACAATACAACACTATATCAAATGTAAAATAACTTTTGGTAAGCGATGAATTGCGAGTTAAATAGGAATTCGCAAATGTCATATCACATGAGGAATTATGAATTATTGTTCATAACAAATTTGACTAAGTATACTTTGTTCCAAACGTATCTCCTACGTTTTGCGTGCAACGCAACCCGCCGTTGCATCCGCAATATATATTTTTCTGCAGATAAAATGAATTGGACCTATACTATCGCCACGAGACGACGCAATTATTTAGTTAAGACTGTTGCTCATAATTTTAGCGTCGACAGGAGTTGTTGTCCGGTCTCCATCATTAAAGATTTAACGTGTTCCGCGTGCATGATTTGAGTGCACATTTCGGTGCACTTTTGAAATGCGATGATGTCGTCCTTCGGGACGATACGATGCAGACCATCCAATGACAATGTGTGCGGCAGATAATTTAGAATTTCTGAAATACGAACGATTATATTAAGTGTAATGAACACGTTTTATTTTTCATGACAATTTACCTTTCATGATTTGTGTGTATAAACAATGCAACTCCTGTCGCATATTGGACGCCGAAATTTTTTTTTGCGTTAAATCGATTAAATACTTCCACTCAGATTCGTTAGTATAAACATCCTGAAATTTCAAAATCGTAGGAAATTTTCTTGTAAAATCAACTGGACGTATTGTAAACAATGACGAGTACCTTGGCGTACTGTACAATAGCCTGGGGACAGTTCTCCATTAGGATGGTAGTCACTTCATCTGTATTCTGAATGCACAACGTTTTTAAAGATAAACTACCCTCGACTTCCTGCGTATCGAGGAACTGTTTCACCTCGTGCATACATTCATTGGGCACAAAATCGCAAGACAGAAGTAGCTGCAGTTTGAACAATTCCGCAGGTATCACTTTTTCATTGTCAGTCTTNTCGTAACGTTCAGAGATTGATGATTAGAAAATACTACATTATATGATCAACGAATTTAGTGAAAAGTAACTATCCTTAGCGTTATTAGTTTCCCTAAACGCGCGTCATCTTACCCTCAGTAATTAAAAAATATGAACGATTTGTAAATAGATCATTGAAATTATTTAATCTAAAGCAATCCATAGAATAAGAACATGTAGCACTATGAATTCTCGAGTTTTATTTGTCCAGTTTCGCATAAACTTCCGATAAATAATTCTGTTTTGACATCGGCTAAGGGAAAGATAACATTCGTCTAGACACAATATAATATATCTATATAGAACATCTCAACAATCGGTTATAATATGAATTCATTTTATCTATAGTATTTGTCTTCGATTTTTGACATTTTTTTGATAAAACTTTGTCCATAGAAATTTTGTGCGTGGCTAAAATCAGTCTAAAGAAACAGAAACATATCAAACAATTCGATCAAAGACATGTGCAATCTTCAAAATATCGTAATAATGACTAGACTGTAAAGATACTTGTAAAAATTGTGCATCAGACAACAGTTGTTTGCAAAATTACCATAAAATTATGTAAAAAGGTATCCACGAATACGAGACTAATACGCGAGGAGGAATGAATAGTCGATCGAGTTTAAAGAATAGACAATACAACACTATATCAAATGTAAAATAACTTTTGGTAAGCGATGAATTGCGAGTTAAATAGGAATTCGCAAATGTCATATCACATGAGGAATTATGAATTATTGTTCATAACAAATTTGACTAAGTATACTTTGTTCCAAACGTATCTCCTACGTTTTGCGTGCAACGCAACCCGCCGTTGCATCCGCAATATATATTTTTCTGCAGATAAAATGAATTGGACCTATACTATCGCCACGAGACGACGCAATTATTTAGTTAAGACTGTTGCTCATAATTTTAGCGTCGACAGGAGTTGTTGTCCGGTCTCCATCATTAAAGATTTAACGTGTTCCGCGTGCATGATTTGAGTGCACATTTCGGTGCACTTTTGAAATGCGATGATGTCGTCCTTCGGGACGATACGATGCAGACCATCCAATGACAATGTGTGCGGCAGATAATTTAGAATTTCTGAAATACGAACGATTATATTAAGTGTAATGAACACGTTTTATTTTTCATGACAATTTACCTTTCATGATTTGTGTGTATAAACAATGCAACTCCTGTCGCATATTGGACGCCGAAATTTTTTTTTGCGTTAAATCGATTAAATACTTCCACTCAGATTCGTTAGTATAAACATCCTGAAATTTCAAAATCGTAGGAAATTTTCTTGTAAAATCAACTGGACGTATTGTAAACAATGACGAGTACCTTGGCGTACTGTACAATAGCCTGGGGACAGTTCTCCATTAGGATGGTAGTCACTTCATCTGTATTCTGAATGCACAACGTTTTTAAAGATAAACTACCCTCGACTTCCTGCGTATCGAGGAACTGTTTCACCTCGTGCATACATTCATTGGGCACAAAATCGCAAGACAGAAGTAGCTGCAGTTTGAACAATTCCGCAGGTATCACTTTTTCATTGTCAGTCTTATCGATGTTCGCTAAATCCTTCAAGTTATTCGCATTCAACATCTTTTGATAATCTTTTGCGTACGGTGGCATTCTATCTAGGTAATCGGGTCTGAATTTTGAAAATATGAAGTTACTATAGTTTTCATCTATGTTCTCTATACTGTCTAATTTGTACACCTTGGTTTGAGACAATTTGCCGAGGTACGAGCGTACCAGCAACTTGAACGCCTCGACCAAGGCAAAGTCAGTGCGTATTTGATTTTTGTTTATAGTAGATGAGTCTGCGATCAGTTTTGTACTAAAGTAGTTGTGCAGGTATTTCTCGAGGAAAAGCTGCAATGCCAGCGCAGCGTGGTGGCCGTCCCGACCTACTCTAGAGGGCAAATACTCCAAAAACACCTGTATGATTTGGTGCAAAGATAATATCCCGTCGTCCTCTATTATTTGTATCAAAATCTCGACGAATGTCATATTCTTCTGACGCATCAACATGCCAGCAAAATCGGAAAATGTCGGAATCATAGGACTTCTCTTTCTCATGGCAGTCATGTCGAATAATAAGTCCCAATGCTCAATGATCACTCTTTTGATGCATTGTGAGGTGACAGGTTCAAGCGCCTTTTCCGCCTGTTCCTGCTTTTCTGCTTGTATATACAAAACTGCTAAAGCTAACTTAACTAATTCGTCTGTCTCATACAACAGTAAAAGGTGTATCAGCTTTTCTGTGGTATATTCGCGAAGAACAGGGCTGCCGAAAATTAATTTGAGCAAATCGCCCTTCTTCAGTTTGCAGATCATCTCTACAATATTGAAGCCCTGGAATAACGCATCGGCCTCTGAGCCACTCTTCAAAGTTAGTAGGATCTCTGTTAGGAAAGTAACAAGACCTGGTGCATCCTTGGTTGATTTTCTAGATAAAACCTCCGCAGGTTTTAATCCAGACATTTTGTAATACGGTATACAAAGATCCCAATCCGATTCGTACTCCGATCTAATATAATAATCGGCAAGTAGTGCGCAGGATTGGTTATACAAGTTCTTCAGTTTCACTACATTCTTGTTCGCAGTATCGTCAACATCATCGTTCTCCGAAGAATTGCATGCGGCGTCCTTAGCTAAACGTATCACAGCATGAGCTTCTCCAAGCAAATGCCTGTAAGTTCCAGGACTAGAGGCTTTGTGGCTTCTTGCCGCATTCAAAATGTCGTAATATAGGTTCTCCAGCTTTGGTAACATCAAGGAGTACAGTGTCCATGAATTATCCGCTTTTGCCAAGAGAATTAAATAATTTCTACTGTGTAGTAACTGCTGTATTCCTAAAAATGGTCGCAAACCAATCAAACAAACAGGTTCTGCAATTCCAGGACATGTAACTTTGTAATTTTCCAGACTGTTTGACGTTCTCGCAATATGATGAGACAAACGTAATGTGTACGATTCTAGACCTGCTTCGGTTAGAGCATGAAGGGCTGTGTGCTCCAAAGCCACATGGTTAACAGGTGCTGTGAATGGATAAGTCGTTAAGCAAGTTGCATCTGTGGGATTTGAACTAGTTGCAGAGAAATGATAAAGGTATCCTTCTTGCAGTGTGGACAAGAAACAGCTTATACCCTGCAAGTATCTGTATTTCTCTGACCTGAGAATTGATTTCTTTAAGCAGGAACTATTGCATTCCTTTCTCATGTACAGTGGCTTCAACAGTAAACAGCTGAATAATTCAGAGCTTCCATCGAGTTTCGAATTATTATTAACTGCTACAATCTTGAGAGACAATAAATTTTTTATCGTATAATTCTCTGACCAGCCTAAATCTGGAGAATTTGTTTTAATTATAACTCTTACATCCGATGGATTTAGTATAAATGGACTTAGAGTATGTCCTGGTCCTGCTCTTTCTAAACTAATCGATGGGAAATTTATAGTTAATGATTGTGAATTCCCATCAATCACATCTTGTGCAATTAATCTTTGCAATTCGTCTTTCTCGTTGTGCGCTAAACGATCCAAATCTATAATAGCTTTATTATTGTTACATTTTATTGTATTGAAGTCTCCTGTTTCTAGTTTATACCATACATTTGTTTTAGAATTCTTACGTTTTTTCTTAGATTTTATATCATTGGTTTCTGATCCTACAAAATGAACATCCTGTGCAGAGTTTCTATGTTTTGAACTTATGGTCTGTAATACCATGTTCTCATCTTGATTTCCTATACTATTGCTGTATTCCACAAGAGAGGAATCTGTAGATATAGAAGTCTTGTCAATGGATGAAGAATTTGTAGAAGTTAAAGAGCTCAGTTGATCAATATCTTCATACATTGAATTAGTGAGCCTGAAAACACATAAGTTAGATTTATCCATGATAGCAATAAAATCTTCAATAATCTCCATGTATGTAGGGCAGAAGGAGAATCCCAAGGACCATGGTCTTGCCTCAAAATCTATGAATTTCATTTTGGAGACTTGCTGTGTCTCAACTTTGAACTCATGAAGAATAGCACTATTTCCAGAAGCTACCAAAAGATTACCAGTGCTTTGGCAACAAGCAATTAATGTTGGCTGCACAGTCAATGGTAGCTCTATCATCTCTAAGCTATTTAGAGGCCGATTTAAGCTTGGAGTAACACGTCCTGCAATTCTAGCACGCATAGGTTGACTTTGGTCTTTCACTATAGCCCAGTTGACATAGACTCTAACAAAATTATTAGTTACTTTTCCCATGTGATTGTTAATAGTTGCATCTCTAGTATATTTTGATTCTAGCGTGACCACATAGTCTCCTTTGGTACAATGTACCATTTGACTGATCATATCAACTGTTGGAAATATGGTATGTAATTTAACATCGGACATTGTCAATTCCCATACTTCGACACAGTGTGTCGAAAGTGCTAGGAGGAGCATTTCACGTCCAGACGCATTTGCTATGCAGCTGGCAGTCGACTCCTCGATCTGGGTAATGTGTTGTCCCAGGAAATTATGTACTGTGATTACCCGCACCATATTGTTGCTTCTACTCAAATAGGTTCACAAACATACCTTTTACCGCGCTTAGATGCAAATTATTGCGTGTGAACAGTATTATTTTAAAAATTATTTTCCTCACCTGTATTTCTTTATACAGGTTGCAATTAAATCATACTTTGAAATGTCTGTTGCATAATTCGTTGGAGGTTACCTTACATTCTGTTATATACAGTTATTAATATAAGAATTACTCAAATAGAGATTTTCGAACGGATGAATTCGTTGTGTTCTCGGAACCTTTCAATATCAGCGAGGTGTAGAGTTAATGAAACGGAAGAAGATGAGTGTCACTCAACAGTTTTCCCGCAGATACAAAATCTAACTTAACTTGTAAGCTTGTGTTGATGAGCTCAGTAACAAGTACTTCAACATTTCAATCATTTTTCACGCATTTACACGCTTGTTATACAGCGGTTACGGTAATGAGATTCATCAAACACAGTGACAATTAAAGAATTCGATTGATCACTACTCATCGGAAAATGATGCTACCAAGCTTCGTACATGATTTTATACGCTATTATTATTGGAAACACTATTAATACCATAAAGTAGGAGAAAGCAAATACACTTGGCTCATTTGACAGATTTGTCTGTACGCGCATGTGCATTAAAATATAAATGTGCAACCTACGCGCCCTTAATCTCCCGCTTATTGGTGTAATAGATTAACGATTTCGAATATTTGAATATTTATCAAAATTTACTTTGAAATTCTTTATTTCTGCTATTTCCTAAAATTACTCATTAAAATGGGGCTAATCACATACATACACACACACACACCTTCTCAAACAAAAAGATAAACATCTTAAATCCTAAGTTTATAACTTGTATTGTAATGTATAATTTAATGTACCATACAAATATATTACAGGATTCTTTGATTTTTATTATAATAATTTAAAAGTTCATACATGTTCCAATAGTATCCTTAACTATATAATACAAGTTTACTCTAAAATATTAATTCTGGAAACATATCTTTACACAAATATCTTATACAGTAATCTTATTAGATAGCAACTTAAAAAAGGTAGCAACTAATGCTGTTTAAATGTCAGATACATCTACAGTCCTCTAATTATTCTAAAAATTCAACAAATCATTTGAAACACAGTTTGATCATAGATCAATTATTCCAATGTTACTCAGAGCATTCATAAGTAAAATACATACTAAAGAAATTGATCATTTTGTTAAAATAATCTTTTCAATATGACTTGCAGTGTGAATCAAAAATGGTTTATACCCTGCAAGTACTTATACTTCTCTGATCTGAGGATTGATTTCTTTAAACAGGAACTATTGCATTCCTTTCTCATGTACAATGGCTTCAGCAGTAATCAGCTGAATAGGTCAGAGAATTATTATTAACTGCTACAATCTTGAGAGACAATAAAATTTTTATCATATAATTCTCTGATCACCCTAAATCTGAAGAATTTGTTTTAATTATAATCCTTACATCCGATGGATTTAGTATAAGGATATGTATTGGTCCTGCTCTTCCTAAACTGATTGATGGAAAATTTATAGTTGATGATTATGAATTCCCATAAATCACAACATGTGCAAAATACATTCTAAAGAAATTGATCATTTTGTTGAAATAACTTTTTCAATATGATTCTTTAGCGTTTCTAATTGACGCATGGTTTCCGGATCTAGTGATGGGATATGTGACATACGTAGGCCTTCTTTAGGTAGCAAAGATATTACATTGCCATTTCTCAAAGGAACATTAATGTTAGCAGTATTTTCTTGTACAACTGCAGAAACCAATAAGGGACTACCTTGCATACTAAGAACCATCTCCCCTTGCCGTGGACGTCTCAATACATTTAATGGTGTATTTGGTTTAACTTTTGGAGTCACAAGACCATACGTATTCGATGATATGTTATTTACCTTTAATGTTGCAGGAGTTTTAAATTGATCAGTTTTCACAGATTCCTTACCATGTGGTTTCCTAATTTTCTTTATAGTCTCTTGATTAATCTGACTAAGTTTTACTTCTCTATTCCTCGAATTACTACGTGTTCTTCTCATGTTTCTTTGAGACTCGTCTTTCTGAGCTCTTGAGGTACGTCTTCCTTCAGTCACGTATCCATCATCCGATGCAGTGGTAATTCTCTTTGCATGTTTCTTTCCTTTTGTCGTTGTAGGCGGTTTCAACGAATTTTCGTTAACAGATGACGACACTTCTTCACAATTCTCTTTCTGGTCGTTAATCTCGCATTGCATTAACTCACCGAGAGTCATCAGTTGTATTTCCTTTGGAAGCCTGGATATAGTAATATTAAAAGAGTTCTCCAGACCTTTCATCGCCATCTTCGCCTCGGATTCCATTTTTAAAATTCGCATGTGAGCTTGCCGCTCAAAATCTCTTACTAATGAATCAGTCTCGTCCGCAGCCTGTAGGTCCAGTTTCGCCTTTCGATTAGTTTTCGTTCGCGGCATTTTCGTTCTTATGTGAAATAGCGAATCCAATAAGACTGTTCGTAAGTCTTTGGTATTATGTGCGTCTATCCGAAAATCAGACGTAAAAACTTACACCAAAATGATCAAAATCAAAGCAATATTTTCAATTCCGTTTACAACCGCCTTTTTAATGCCAGGCGTTGCGGCGTCGTCATGCGCACAACAGAATGGCAAAACGACGTTGAATAATACGCATGCTTGAAAACCCTGCGCTCTATCGGAATCTTTAAAAACTAGACTTTAAGCGTTCGTAAAAGCGTGTGCAGAAGAATTTCTTCAATTTGAATTGCAAGAGGAATAACCGCGGTAAATTGATTAGGCTGCGTTGTTAAATATTGTTCGATTCTAAATTACTGTGAACGAAAACTCGGAGAAACTGTTTGAATTGTCACTTACCGGATAAATGACTGTCTATATCAGTTCGGAAAAGTTACGGTGATCGCAATTCTTAGGCGAAGTGAACGTAGAAGAGTGAGTGTACCAGCAGTATTAATATTTGACGAACTATTTCTAAATTAGTTTCATAGTAGCAATTATATTTCTAATTTACCATGGATGTCTCCAATTCGTACGAAGATCCGTTGTCTTCTTATAAACGAACTGAACGCCAAGAAATGATGATAGCTGCGCCATTAGATTTATCATTTAAAAAAGCAACAACCATGAGGGGTATGCCATTCTTGAAAACAATATTCATACCGATCGGAAGAAGTTATTCGTGTTTTAGAGAACGAAAAGGTTTAATAACATTTGTTTTATTCCAAGAGAATTAGCAGACAAACGCCCGCAAGCAGCACGGACAGGTAAATTACCGTTACGAACTCCTACAGATCGGTTCGTAACATGTTCGTTCTGGATAAGTCATAATTCGTTAACTTCGATGGACGGATTTGAGAATCTTACACAGAAACTTCTCGATGACCCTGCGTACCTCAGCTGGATCGATCTTTCTTTCAACGAATTAAAGAACATTGGCGATGACATTACAAAATTTCCGAATCTAAAGATCGTTTATTTACACGGTAATGATATATCGAATATCAACGATGTCGTGAAATTGAAAAACTTACAAAACCTGCGGTCTTTAACACTGCATGGAAACCCTATAGAAAATCTTCAGTATTATAGGGGATATATCGTTCACATTCTTCCGCAATTGTCGTCATTAGATTTTTCTACTATACTTTCTGTCGAGAAGAAAAGAGCACCGCCAGCTGGATTTTATAAAGTGGTACACGGCGCTACATGAATATAAAACTTTATTTTTAAACTGCATTTGTATTAAATACACGCCCTTTTAAGTATTGTTATTCGTAATATTTCTCTGAGAATGGTACCATTTTTTACTTCTTTTTCCTTTCATTCTTTACAAGGTACTTCGAGTGGACACTCTTACAAATGATTCGTTTCTCAACTCCTATAGTTAGCATTATTAAATAAACTCAAGATATGTACCACACAATAGAAATTAATCGTCCTATTTAAGTTCTCTGTTAATGAAACGGAGGTAAAAAAAGGCCTCGTATTATATTACAAAGTGGATAGAACTACTGCTAGACGCAGTTCGCAGTGTCTTTGTTGTAATATGAAACAGTAATGTTTGTACACTGAATCGATTTAATGCCGTCTGTGTTTGCTGCGATGTTTACTTGATTTTTCGGTATCTCTATCTCGTGATCGACTACGAGATCTATATCGGCTACGTGATGATTTATGACTGCCGGATCGCCTTCGCTGCGCTTTCTTCGGTTTCCGGGAACGGCCATGACTATGGCTACGGGATCTACTTCGGCTATGTTTCTTCCTCTTGGAATGCTTCGTTCCTTCACCTCGTGAGGGCGATGTACTCGGAGACTTTGAACGCCTTTATAAAAATATAAGCAAATTTAATTTCAGTATATTTAATTATTGGCATTAACGTTGACATTATCGTTGCCATACATACCTAGGGGATTTTGTTCTTTCGGGAGCCGCGTGTGTACCGCTACGGCTGATAAAACCGCCCCAGGCGTTATGGTGTTTAGGCAGGGGTGGACTCGGTGTGTGACTATCAACGTCTCCGCCCCTAGCTTTGGTTCTAGCTTCTTCATACTGTCGTCGAAGCTCTTCAACACGTTTTTCTAACTGTTCTGGTTTAACACGAGGTCGATAATAGAGCCGTAATATGCGACGACAAACGTCTCTAATGGCAGATTCGTTGACTTTGAAAAGGGAAAACCAAGCGGGTGAGGTGGGTAGTGGAAGTTGTAGCTGCCGGGCCCCCAAGTAGACACATGCGCAGGCTACCGTTTCTGGTTGATGTCTCAAAAACACGTCGGACCTCAACGAATCATTCATATAATTCCAACATTGCTGCATCAGAGCCTTGTTCTTTTCGTAACCCAATACTTGCAAATACATAACAATGATTTTATGAGGATGCTTCACATGAACGCAAAACCCCAGTTCTTTCAGAACTCTTCTCTCTGACTTGATTACTTGATTTTTTAATGCCACATAATTTTGATCCAGTATCACTGGTTGTATCGGTCTGAAACAAATTTTAAATTGGTACACATATAATTACAAGGGATTTAAGAGGTATATAGAAAATACAGAGTCACACTTACTTTTGGCTAGATACTTGCTTTATGTGATTGAAAACGTTAATCACGTCCCTAATGCGTCTGGGTGCTTCCTCAATTTTACTAGCTAAACAAATACAACCCATTGCAGTAGTTTCCATATTATGTCTAACTAACGATTTACTGTAATAAAATCGTTGAAATATTACTTGTCCTGTGGCCATCGCAACCTGTTCGACGTAATCGAAGAAGTAACGATTATAGCATAATTTAGAGGTTATAGAGGTTATAAAGTTTACAAACATCCTGTTTACTTTCAAATTAGATCATTTACCTGTGGTAGTTTCAGTAGAATACCGGCTATCTGTATTAGCTCACATCCCAATATTCGCAGATCAGTTTCTGTTTCCGCATCCAATCCATCCAAATGTGACGGCGTCGAGTTAAGCTTCTCCTCGGGTAGAAGACAATTTTGTAACGTTAGTACGATCTTTCCATACGGTTTCGTATTGCCAGCTGTCGCATTTTTCACGGGAACAACAGAATTTTCTTTCATGTTACTCATTTTTTCATTCACTACACAAAGACAATTAAAATCAAAAGTTCAAACACTATTCACACAGCAAGTATAACCTTTCATCTTTCCGAGGTACATCTCGGATCTACCATACATTCGACATAAACTGGCACTGTACTTCAGATTAGAATTAGAACATAGAAAGGTTGTTCGTGTACACACGATTCTCCACGTACGGCGCTGCAATCGATTTTCAGATGTCGATTGGTACTACTGATTCTGGCATTATAACGGTTTATGTAACGTTAATGATATCAATAATATATTTTGAGAATAACGTATGATTTTTTTTTCTTATATATTTGAAAATGTAATGCACCCGATAATTTCTTCAATTTCTGACATAATTTTGTTTTACGTTGTAATTTTCTTAAGGTGGCAACAGTGGCCTCGAGAGTCGGCCATTTAATAGTTTGTGGAACGCAGCAGTGCGCACGTAACGGTCCTATTAGAAGATTTTGAATTTCAAAATTTATCGATTATTTTTCGTCAATTTAACAAAAAGACTGGCAGAAAAAGAAAGTGCGAAACTCCAAATACTAAGTCATCATAAAAGTTGGTCAAGGTATCGTATCTTTTTACAATAACAATGAAGTAATAAAGTCTTCGTTCTCCGGTCCTATGTTTCACGAAGTATCAAATATTGTCGCAACAAAGTTGTAATTTAACTTCTTTACAAGTTTTTGAGTCTATTGCCGGCTGATTACGATAGAATTGAATGCTAACGAGAAACCAACTCGGTGAGTCAAGCATCAATATTAAAATGTTAATAATGTAAAGTTCGACCTGTGTTGAGGTCGTTATTGCAATATGGAGGACACATTTGAAATTGTTTTCGCGCCAACGCCGAAGGGACAGAATAAAGCTATAACGGTTTTATTTTTAGGTATATAATAATATATTCCTTTAGTCGTTACATGTCCGTTCTGTCTATTATTCGAAATGAATGTCCAACGTGCATCGCAACGAGACATTCGTTGCGATTTGTGTTATAAAAACTTTTTGATCACGATCGTTTTCATGATTTTTCAAATTCGACTTGAATAGAAACGGTTGTTGGGCTTACAGAGTAATAGGATTTTGCGCGCATTCTCGCAAAGAACGGCTGACTAAGTATAATCATAAATATATACAGATCAAGAAATAATACATATAATATAATACACTTGCATAACATAACAATTATCGTACAACGTATACATAGTAGTAACTCATAGCGAAACGTAACGCAGAAAAGATAAATGAAGAAACTAACAATAGCATAAATCCATACGTTATACAATTAATTGTATACTAATCACTTCTCTTCGGATATTCCATCTCCGTCAATTTTCGGTCCCTGTGTATCTCCTTGCTTATAGAATGCATAAGTACGAATAGGAAAGATTTTGCAATGACTAAAGCAGCTTTCCTGGAATAGATTTTAATCGGTAAATAAAGAACAACATAAATTTCGACTTTACTGTCAGTTTTTGGCCATTGGGTGTCGCTGCACTGGGCTCCCAGACTTTCTCTCTCTCAACAATCTTGGGCCATGATCCGGTTAACATAGGGGTAGCGAAAGGGTTCATGCCCTTGTAAATACATCTGAGAAATATGTAAAGCTTTACAAAGATTTGCGACCAATTATATTGAGCGACAATAAGAAATGAAAAAAAAGATCAAACGATTCCACTATTTGCGGGTTGTTCAGGACACCATCTGAAGGCAATTCGGTTGGAGCGGATGGCTACCCTTGAACGACCCGCGAGCTTTCCGCCGTCTGTAAATTCAATGCGAGGTACTTGGTCGAACACTCCGCTTTCGCATAGTTCCATTGGACCGAGATAGGAACGATTCCCACGTGAAACACTACAGACTCGCACAAGTCGATATCGTTTACGCGAAATCGGAAGTTCCCATGGAACCCTCTCAACGTAGCGAACTCGACGAAGCAACTGCGCGCAGATTCAAATTCCACGGGGGGGAGGGTTGCGTGTGTATGCGTGTACGTGTACGTGTCTTCGAGTGTGTCCTTAAAAAATTTGAAAAAATAAAATTTCCAGCGTCCGAGCTGTATCTTTTCCCTGTATTGTACGACGCGGTACACCGTGTTTTGTACAAAGCGTCCCGCGAACACCTGAGAGAGTCTCTCAGGTTCCATCGTCTCTATTCGCAGAACGCAGAACAGAGACGTCCACAGGAGACAACCGTTATTCCTCTCGCCGTCGCGTCCCGTCGTCGAAGAAACATTTTATGGCATGGTTCGTCCGCTTCCACAAACGTGTTTTTTTGGGAACGAGAAGTCAGCGCTCGATTGGCCCCTACCGCGCCTCCCGTGGACATGCCTGGTCTATAAGAAATAATTATTTCTATAATATATATATATATATATATATTATAATATATATTATATAATATATATAATATAATATATATTATATAATATATATAATATAATATATATTATATAATATCTGTCTCTTATACACATCTAGAGCCTCTCAGGTTCCATCGTCTCTATTCGCAGAACGCAGAACCTGTCTCTTATACACATCTAGAGCCTCTCAGGTTCCATCGTCTCTATTCGCAGAACGCAGAACCTGTCTCTTATACACATCTAGAGCCTCTCAGGTTCCATCGTCTCTATTCGCAGAACGCAGAACCTGTCTCTTATACACATCTAGAGCCTCTCAGGTTCCATCGTCTCTATTCGCAGAACGCAGAACCTGTCTCTTATACACATCTAGAGCCTCTCAGGTTCCATCGTCTCTATTCGCAGAACGCAGAACCTGTCTCTTATACACATCTAGAGCCTCTCAGGTTCCATCGTCTCTATTCGCAGAACGCAGAACCTGTCTCTTATACACATCTAGAGCCTCTCAGGTTCCATCGTCTCTATTCGCAGAACGCAGAACCTGTCTCTTATACACATCTAGAGCCTCTCAGGTTCCATCGTCTCTATTCGCAGAACGCAGAACCTGTCTCTTATACACATCTAGAGCCTCTCAGGTTCCATCGTCTCTATTCGCAGAACGCAGAACCTGTCTCTTATACACATCTAGAGCCTCTCAGGTTCCATCGTCTCTATTCGCAGAACGCAGAACCTGTCTCTTATACACATCTAGAGCCTCTCAGGTTCCATCGTCTCTATTCGCAGAACGCAGAACCTGTCTCTTATACACATCTAGAGCCTCTCAGGTTCCATCGTCTCTATTCGCAGAACGCAGAACCTGTCTCTTATACACATCTAGAGCCTCTCAGGTTCCATCGTCTCTATTCGCAGAACGCAGAACCTGTCTCTTATACACATCTAGAGCCTCTCAGGTTCCATCGTCTCTATTCGCAGAACGCAGAACCTGTCTCTTATACACATCTAGAGCCTCTCAGGTTCCATCGTCTCTATTCGCAGAACGCAGAACCTGTCTCTTATACACATCTAGAGCCTCTCAGGTTCCATCGTCTCTATTCGCAGAACGCAGAACCTGTCTCTTATACACATCTAGAGCCTCTCAGGTTCCATCGTCTCTATTCGCAGAACGCAGAACCTGTCTCTTATACACATCTAGAGCCTCTCAGGTTCCATCGTCTCTATTCGCAGAACGCAGAACCTGTCTCTTATACACATCTAGAGCCTCTCAGGTTCCATCGTCTCTATTCGCAGAACGCAGAACCTGTCTCTTATACACATCTAGAGCCTCTCAGGTTCCATCGTCTCTATTCGCAGAACGCAGAACCTGTCTCTTATACACATCTAGAGCCTCTCAGGTTCCATCGTCTCTATTCGCAGAACGCAGAACCTGTCTCTTATACACATCTAGAGCCTCTCAGGTTCCATCGTCTCTATTCGCAGAACGCAGAACCTGTCTCTTATACACATCTAGAGCCTCTCAGGTTCCATCGTCTCTATTCGCAGAACGCAGAACCTGTCTCTTATACACATCTAGAGCCTCTCAGGTTCCATCGTCTCTATTCGCAGAACGCAGAACCTGTCTCTTATACACATCTTAATATAATATATATTATATAATATATATAATATAATATATATTATATATATATATTTTTTATATATATTATCTATCTATCTATCTATATATATATATATAAGAAATAATTAGATCTATTCAAAATAGATCATACAAATCGTTTCGTTCATCCACGCTAAAAGACATCCGATAACATTGGCATAGCTGGCTCGAAGTGAATCTAATTGCAAGAGAAAGAGGCAATTCGGTGGCCCGATCGGCTCGCGGTCGATCATCATCGAATTTGCTCGGTGTTCATGCACGAAAAGTAAAGTTCATTCGTTGAGATCGCTCGACTCGCGGATCAGCACCGAACGAGCACCTTGGGTCAACCGAATTCGCGATCGTCCTCTCCTTCTCAAAGACCGATTCACTTCGCGAGACCCGCGTACCTGGCAGTGCGATAGCTATCTCCTTCAACGAACAATCATTCCGCTCGTGCACAGAGCGTTCCACGTGGTTAAGACCGTTCGGTAACGTCCGGCCTGGTCTTCGACGTAGCTTCGTTGTTCAAACGAACAGTCGCACCGTCGTTGCACGCTAGCTGAGCCTCGATCTTCTCCGCTGCGATCCCCTCCATCTTGTTATCCGACTTGATAGAGGCGTTCAAGCTCTTCAGAAAGTTGCCCAGGTGTTGGGCGGCTATGGGGTTGTTCGCCCACTCGTTCGAAGGGAACGCGGCCAGCAGTCTCTTCTGGAACATTTCCGAAGTAAGTTGCTTCGCGTCCGATTGTTTGAACGCGGATTTCTTCTCGGTATCCGTGGTCGCGTCGACGACTGGGTTCTCGGGTTTCGAAGATCGCTCGGAGGAAGACTTAGTTACCTCCGATGGAGACGGGAAGCCTTGTTCCACCGTTGAGCAACCTTTGCTGGATAGGCTGCTCTCGATCGTCACCGAGCTGGAGTCAGGGCTGGCCGGAGACTTGCTACTGGACACCTCCACTGCGGGGGTGGTGCTCTTCTTCGGGCTGGGAGCGGGCACGTCGTTGTCGATCCCGTTCGACCCGGTTGTCACGCTGTCGCCGCGACCAGCGGCGTTCTCGTTGTTGTTGCTGGTGCTAGAATCGCCTGGCGGAGGCGACGGGGAAGCCGTTGAAGAAACCCTGGGGCTGGCAGCCTCGCGATTAGGGGTTTGCCTCGAGGCAGTGTCGTCTTTCTTGGAATCGTTGTTCGATTCCGTGTTCGCGTCGCGAATCGTTTCAACGGACGCCTTGTCCTCGTTGCTGCCACTGTTGCTCGTGGTGCTTCGAGGCGAGTACCGGTTGTTACTGGTTTCCGTGGTCGCAGGGTACTTCGTTTGGACGGACAATTGCTGCTGGCCACTGTCTACGGAATCCAATGGTTCGTTGCTTCGAAACGCGACATTCTTGCTTACCTCGTTGGCGAGAGTACGGTTCAGACAAACGGTGCTGGCAGACCTTTCGCCGGACTGCTGTTGTTTGCTAATGGGCACTGCCAGTGGTGCGATGGAGGATCGAGCGGGTTTCACCGGCGCGCACTGAGCAGCTAAGTGACTCTTCCCTGGCAGGCTGTTGTTCGCGCTTCGGTTGTCGGTGTTAATGCCCGAGGAATTCGCCTCGGTTGGCCGCGGCAGCCTCAACCTCGCGTCCATCTGGAACTGCTGGAGGTTGGGGGCTTGGCTGAGGGCGTACAGGCTCTGCAGGCTTGGGAACACGGACGAGAGGTTTGTGCTCGATCGGTTGGCGCTCATGGGGCTCGACAATCCTGGAGCGTAGACAGGGGTGCGCGTCGGTGTCGGCAAAGGACAGTCGCTCACTCTGTGAGCCGCGGGAGTTAGAGATCCTGGCGGCGCTCGATAGTATCTGTGCCCTCCCATCAATGTCACCACTTGCCCTTGGTCGGACAGGTTCGGCATGTTGTCTCTGACCGACGATTTCGCCTTCATCTTCGGCTGAGGGTTCGGTATTCTCAGCGGATGCATGTCCATCTTCTTTCCACCGCTCAGATCAAGAATATCCCTCGATTCTTGCTCCCTCTTCCTCTTCCCAGAGGGTGTCTGCCGCTGTTGATTGATCTCACGATCCGGCTGCTTGGTCTGCCTCGGTTTCGCTGGCGCCGGCATCCTTATTTGGCCCGCCTTCAGTGCTTTCAGCACTCGGGGATCCACGGACCGATCGTTCAGAGTGATGCTAGGGCTCACCTTTCCGAGCGCGTTCTTCCGGTTGTCCTTGGAGTCGCTCGGCTCGACGAATCCTCCGCTGCTGCCAGGGGACTTTGGCGCGGTTAGGGTAATACTGAGGCTCGCAGGGATGTTCAAACCGCAGCCGTCCAAGATGTTTCTCGTGTCGCTCGAGAGCATTGGGTTGTTGGTCTGAGGTTTGGGACTCGGAGCTGGCGCTCGACTGGGACCAGGCTCGCCGATGACGTTCGCGGGTCTCTTCGCAGAAACCACGTGCTCGGTGGCTATCTTCCTCGGTGATTTGAGATTGTTAGGCATCGGGCTGGGCAGAGGAGAGGGCACGGTCGCAACGGGAGACTGTTTCTTCGGGGTCTGCACCTGTTGCTGTTTCTTCCGCTTGATGTCGAAGATGGGCAATCCCGGTGGACACTTTCTCTTAACCGCCCCCGCTGGGACCACCGGCGGGTCGTTGGAAAAAGTGTACACGTCGACCTTTGCCGGAGCGTTGCCGGCGTTCGCGTTCACGGTAGCCACACTCGAACTCTTCGCGTAACCGAACGGCCGTGCATCCACGTCACTGCACTGTTTGTTCGCGTTCACTCGCGCATTGCCGCTAATTCCGGCGACCGTTGCCGGCCGTTTGCTCGCGTTCGCCACGCTTCCGCTCGCATTAACACCGGCCGCGTTCTCCACGGTATTTTTATTCTGTATTCTGTCTTCCGTCGCCGCATCGATCTTCTTGTCCTCCTTTTTGGTCGCGTTACCTTTGCTCTGAGCATCGACGACCGACCCGCTCACAGTCGTCTCCGGCGGCTTCGAGTCCACGAGCGATTCCGCTACGGTCTCTCTGGCGGTCAGTTGGAACCCTTGAAGGAACTGTTTCTTGTCCTGCTGCTCGGCCGGCTTCTTCGGCAAGATCTTCACCGCGTTGCTCACAGGTTTCTCGGGCGGGGCCGGTCGTTCCACGAACGTGACCCTGCGCCGCTGCTTCTCCTGCTTCTCCGCCTGTTGCTTCTCTCGGTCTCTTTGGATCTGCTGTATGACCAACGCACTCGGGCTCTCCTTCTCCGACTGGCCGCAATTCAACAAAACGTTGCTGATCACTTTCGGCTTCTTTGGGGTCACGTTGCTCGGCGGGCATTGCTTCAGCGTGATCTTCACTCCGTTCGAGTTCTGCCCGCTGCCTATGCTGACCACGCTGAACTCGGGGCTCGAGGACTTCGGCTCGGTGCTCGGCTCTTTCGTGCCCCAGTTCAGCGACGGGCTTCTCAGCACCTCGTAACGTCCATCCGGATTCTTTAGTATCTTGATGGGCGTTTTGATCTGCTTCGTGGCCTCGGTATTCGTCGACGTGCTCGACGGTGTCGTGTTAGTCACTGTTGTGGTCGTCGTGTTCGTTGTGGAAGACGAAATCGTCGTCGATGTCACCGTCGTCGACACTGTCGCGCTGCTCAGAGGCTGTTCCGTTTTCGTCTCCGGCTTCTTCGTCTCCACCGCGACTTTCTTCGGCTCTATCGCGACTTTCTTCGGCTCTATCGCGACTTTCTTCGGCTCTGCCGCGACCCTCTGCTCGTTGGACACCCTCGACTTTTCGCTTGGAGCTTCGTTTCCAGCTTCCAACGGGCGCCTCTCTTCTTGATTGTTCGCCTGCTCGATCTCGGCCTTGCGTTCCGGCTCGTTCTGCTCATTTTCCGCGTTGATTCTGTTCTGAACGACAGCGTCCGCGGGTAAACTCGCCCCCAGACCGGGGGTGGACGGTCTGTCGTGCGGCGGCGCCTCCAGCCGTTGCTCTTCCAACGCGACTCGGTAGAAAAATCGCATGGGTGCGTTCTGAAAAGACGATTATCGGACGTTAAAAAAAAACACTAATAGAAATGATTTCGTATCGCTTAGCGAGGAACAAGGCTCGACTTACTCTCTTCCAAGCGTAAATATACGCGACGTCCATGAGCGTCCAGTGCTCTGGAAGCGGGGCACGCCGATGGCAAACCTCGATCGTGTATCTCGTCATGTCGACGCTGTATTTCAGTGCTAGGAATTTTTTCAAGTGTGCTATAGTCACCAGCGCGGGACATTGAAGGTACCGTCGGTTGCTCGTCGTGTTCGTGTTGTGGTTGCCGGCGTTATTGCTGCCGGTATTGTTGTTCGTTTGGTTGTTCAGTCCGTTCACGGTGTTCGCGTCGTCGTTCGTGCTGAGCAGGATCGTGAGCGGATCCGCTCCGGGTGGCAGGTACTCTAAGCTCAAACTGACCGCGTCCTCCGGCGCGAATATCAGTCGGCCGCTCACGTCTTCGCCGCGTTGCTCCGGTGTCGCGAAGTCCGCTGAAAAGTTCGATCGTTCGTATCACATTCGCAAAAAACAATCGTCGCGAACAAAGCGACGAGTACGTCTATCCTAAATAGATTCGGAGAGTTAGTCAGAGTGGAAGCGTTACCGTGCTCCGGGTGCTTCTTGTAGAACTCTCTTCTCTTGCGCATCTCTTTGTGATAAAGCCCGGGGACCAATTTGTACACGATCTCTTGCAACGCTTTGTCCGCCCTGAAAGCAAACGGTCATCGAAAAACGTTCGAACATTAAACGATTCGATCGACGAACGATTGGCAGAACGTGAAAGCGGAATGCACGTACTTGATGTTCGGCTTCGCCTTGTTGAGAACATGTTTGCAAGAGGGACACTGCGCCTCGGTGCTCAGATGCTTTAAAATACAGCTTCTGCAAACTGGAAACAGAAAGGAAGGAGCAGCATATCATTATCCGTTCGGGGCCGGCCTGGGAAATATCATTCGCGAGAGGATTTCGTTTCACTTACACGAGTGCAGACACTCGACGACGGTGGTCGCGTCTATGAGGTAGCCCCGGCACAACAGGCAAACGAGGTAGGGATTCACCTCGCGGAGGTAAGTCCTTTTGCCCGGTCCCGACATTTTTCTTATTGTGGAACGGAACTGCCCGTGATGATACCTGCAACGTGAAACAGAGAACGACGCGATGATCCCACGCTCCGGAAAACCGCAATGCGAAATAGAGGATCGCGCGATCCGCTCACGCCGGTGCAGTTACAGACGCGCGTCGTCGTCCCTTCGAATTCTCCGCCCTATTCAGCGGCGTTCCACTCAAATTCGAATCCGTGTGTGCCCAGAAATTCTGCCGACGTTCGCCCGAGGGCGCCCGTAAAAGGCCGAGAGGGCCCGGTCCGGCCGAGAAACAATCTTACGCGCGACATAATGTACATACTTCATCCCGTTTCGTGCGTTCGCTCGTCCCGGAAGCAGCGCCATTACTCATCTAGTTCACACAAACGAACGTGTCGTCCCGTTTACATTTAAAGTCCCCGCGCGCTTCGCCGGCCTTGTGCCTGGCCTTCGGTTCTCGGATCCGAGATCCTCGAACTTTCGTTCGGGACAATTCGCAAAAGCTTCTCGGACGGATCCGCACGCGGTCCGAGGGAACGGTTGGGCCGTGTCACGGTGCTTAGGCCACTTTCCCGAAGGTTTCTCAGGTAGCTAGAATCCCGTTGCTTCGGTCTCTCGTCCCCCCCTCCACCGGATGGCAAGCACCCGGTGTGTATACGGGTGCGTTTTATCCTCGTCCTTCCCGCTCGGGGAATTGTCCTTTCCGTTTTTCCGCTCCGCCACGGGCCTGGCTGCTGAACAGCACCACCAACAGCAGCCCTTGCCTAGCGAACGAAACGCGTGTGCCGTCGAATACCTGGCTCGTATTGATCGAATATCGCGCTATTTCGCAGAGAGAGAGAGAGAGAGAGAGAGAGAGAGAGAGAGAGAGAGAGAGAAAGATATGCTCGCGATAAAACCGCTCCTCGGCGCTCGTTATCGTTGCCCAAGAAAATTAACGCCGCCCGGTTTTTGCCGGCGATCGAGTCCTCGCGCGGCCGCTCGAGGAGGCTCGGCTCTTTAATCGCTCGAACAGATACGGAGCAGCGGCTACGAATTATCCTCAATTCGACGAACGACGACGAGGCACGTCGTCGCTCGACGACCTTACACACCGGCAGCCAAAAGTTTCGATCGGCCGCCGATCCCCGGCGAAGTCGCTATCGATTCAATTAAGTGCTCCTCGAACCAGATATGCCGGAACTTCCAGCCCCCGGCTGTCCTATAAATTAGTTCAATTATTCCGCGGTTATTCGAGATCGACTGGGAGACACTCTAAGCTTCCGGGACAAACGGGAACACCGGGACACGCGGTGTTCCCGTGGCACCGATCCGATTTTTATTCATGAGCGGCCCAACTCCGAACACGACTCTGTCCGCCGGATCCCGTGGAATATTCACGAAATCGATCTAGAAAGACGCGGGTACCCTACGCGCGCACGGACCGATCGCTTATTTTTCCGCGGGCAGGCGATCACGATTCGTCGGGACGTTCGCCCGTCTCCGCCGGTTAACGGGTTAAAGTTACTCCTCACGACCATACCGGAGATCTCGTTATTCCTCGTCCGCTTGCCTCTCGGAGGCTCGCCTCGTCTATTCCCCGAGTGCAGCACGTGTCGCGAATGCAGGGACGCGCCTAAATAAAGCCCCGTCCACACCGATCGGGTTCGTCGGCCCTGGAATCGGGAAGCGTCGACGTGCTTTTCGTCGTCGTCGTCGTCGCGGGCCGGCCGGCCCGCGACGACGAACGACGTTCGAACCGCGGACAAAGCCCGGCGTGCCGCGCATCACGGTCAATTATCTCGTTAGAAATTAGCTGTACTATTTGGACCCCGAGGCGGACACCGCTAACGCGCCATATACCTACACCGAGACGTTCCGCGATGTCTTAGCCACTTCGTCTATTTATATCTGCTCCGTGAGAAGCAACATTCTCGGGCGGGATCGCGAGCGATGATGCCACAGGCCCGATTCCAATCGTCCCGAAAAAACGATCGAACTACCCCCCCGAGGCTCGACCGCCGGGAGCCCGGCACACCTGGGGGCGACCCGGCGTTTCGAACTTTTAAAGGCACCGCCGCTCTTTGACCTTACTGCCAGACGGACACCTTTTGCCCCGCAAACAGACTCCGTCCGTTTCGGGACACGTTTCCACCATTTTTCCGAGCCGTGCACGTTCATCGACTTTTCGGAGACTCCGAAAACGGGGGTTGAAATGCTCCTAAACGCTAGGCATAGTAATGTCTTTCTAATCGACGCTCAGAAATTTTCCATAAAAATCGACAATTTTGGAAGAAGAGATACGATTGCTCGAGCCTTGTGACTCGTTTTTTATGGTTATATTTCCGAGTCGTGCACGTTCCTCGACTCTTCGGAGACTCCGAAAACGGGGGTTGAAATGCTCCTAAACGCTAGGCACAGTAATGTCTCTCTAATCGACGCTCGGATTGTCCACAAAAATGGACAATTTTGGAAGAGGAGATACGATTGTTCGAGCCTTGTGACTCATTTGTTATGGTTATCGATTGTACAAAGCTCGAATAATCGTATCTCCGCTTCCCAAATTTTCCACTTTTGTACACAATCTGACAGTCAATTGGGGAGACATTACTCTTAGATTTTCCATCGAGAACTCGACGCGACGTAAGATGCGAAAATCCGGGCCTTCGGCGACGCGATTCCTTCTCGCTGTTTCTTCTGCCGAAGGGCACGGGGTCCGAAGGTGCCAGGGACTCGTTAAGATACAGTTGTCTTGTCGGGCGATCTCCGCGCTTCGATTTCCACGCCGGCGAAACTTTGGCCGCGTTATCGCGCGGCATGCGAGGCTACAGATTAGACCCCCAGCTGCTCTCTCCGATCCCTCCGCGTTGGCTTCTCTCTACACAGGCCCTCGTACCCCAAGAAACGGGAGTAGGGAGACGACGACCCTACCGGCCGGAAGAGGCCGTGATTCGAAGTAACCTTAGCGACCGTGTACAGAGAGATCGCCGAAGAAAGGCGTCCGTTCGATCGGGCATCCAATCCCACGCGACACGACGGCCTGTGTCGGCCAGCAAAAACGAATATATATTCTCCCCGCGGGGAATAAAAGCGGAGGGAGCGCGCGCGGAGGAGTGTCGCCCGGCGTTCGCAGCCTGGCAGCCGGCGCGAAATCGAAAACGATTGGGTAATCACATTTTTACCGATCCGTCGATCGGTTTTCCGTCGTCGTCGCATTCCGGCTTGGTCACGCGACGATAACGTGGCTCCTCCGCCCCGGTATCTTCTTCTCCGCCGTTTCGAACCGCATTCCTCGGGACGGAAGGAAAAATCGGCGCGCGGGCCATCATCCCCGGGCACCTCCTCTCGGTGCTGAAAAATCCGGGGCCCGGTCGCCGTCGTTTCCCGCCCCCATTGTCCGTCCGGGGGCCTGTCGCGTAACGGCGGCCGTTCGACGGCGAGAGATCTGGTCTCGGCGAGGCAGCCAGCTGATTAATCAGTGGAGACACGTTTTCTCGAGTGTGTCTCTCGTAGGCAACGGACGTTGTTGCGAGATCGCGACACGAACGCCCCGAACGAAAGCGGCGCGACGAGTTTTTCAGCTGGAAAGCTTTCGATCGTCCCGGTGTCCCGGCCGACCGTTACATCGATTTCGGGCGACGGGATAGATCGCGCGCGCTCGCTCTAGCCGAGAGAGCCGCACGCTGCTCTCTCGGCCACGCTCGAGCGAAACGAGAGTGTATCGTCGCGGTTCCTCTCCCGTTCCCCGCTTCGCCCTCGTATCGGCCGCGATGTTTATTCCATCGTCGCGCGTATCGTGAACGCGCACCGACCGATTTCGTCGAGGACGAGAGACGAGGCGGCGCGAATGTGAGAAAAAGTACGGATACAGGCCGCTCCAAAACGCCGGGCCGACCGCGAGAATGCCTCCGGGCCGATCCGTACCCTGCTCTCCTTCTCTCTCTCTCTCTCTCTCTCTCTCTCTCATTTCTCTGGAAATACTTCTCGATCGAAGCGCCCTAGCTCGCCGATAGATTATTTGTACTGTCTTTCTCGGAGGAGAGATCGGAGGAGGGGTCCCGAATCAGCCAGGGTAAATGCCCCACGGTGCATCCTCTCTGTCTGCCACGGATCTCGGGAAAGATCCTCCCGGCGAAACTCCGCATCGGAAGGTACAGCAGGGAGCTGTGTGTCTGAGCAAGATCGATCTCGACTTATTTTTACCAGGACCTCGCGGAGCTATTGATAACCGTTCATTAAGACCCCATGGGAGCGTTCTGGTAATACCGATGGAGCATCGGACGTCCGCGAATCGGGATTTATTTACGAGATATCATCGCGAATGTGCCCGCCGTGTAACGCGTGTAACGGAATTTCTGGCCGGTACACGGAGGAATTCGAGTCTTTTGGTAACAAAAGTCGTGCATCCTGTGCGCGCACCCCACACGGTTGGGGCTCGAGGAGCGAGGGTAGCTCTAACGCGTTCTAGAACGGGCGACAAGATTGATAGGAGACGGTGGTGTGGCAACGGAACGAGATTTCTCTCTCGGGCGGAATAACGCCCAGCGAACATTATATCCCGGCCCAAAATTACAGTCGCGGGAACGGTCCGGGTGTCGCAACAGTTGCCGCTTCGGCCTACAGGCCGTTCAATTTCCGCAGGTCGTCGCCGATCGACGGTTGAATTAACCATCGAGCAAGACGGTTTCGCGGTAGGACAATCGATTACAAGGTAACACGCGGCTCGTTAAGCTCCATCGGGGTAGCGGCGTGTATTTTGAGCCGGCCGGTACAGTATCGCTGTTGCGAGAGAGAAAGAGAGACGGAGAGCGAAAGAGAGACTGCGAGAGACAGAGCGAAAAAGGGAGGGAGAGAGATAAAAGAGAAAAAAAGAGAGCGAGTGAGATAGAGATAGAGAGCGAGAGAGATAGAGAGAGAAAGATGGGCTCGTGCTGGAGAAGGAGGGTATACACGCGAGAGGATAGAGCGAGTAGAGGGGAAAAAGAGTAATAACGAGAAAGACGGTAGTGGGACAGAAACGGAGAAGGAGGGGGAGAAAAAGATGGAGGAAACCGCCCTCTCCGTCTCACTCCCACTCGTTCCGCCTCTATTTCTCTCTGTTGTCTCTGAACAGCGTTGAACCGGCGAGGTGTAGGTCTCCGTCCACACAAGCGTACACGCTCGAAAGCGCGTCGTCTGTACGTGCTTAGATCGTGTATACTTTGGGTCGGTGTGCGAGCGGGTTTACTTACGTGCGAGCATGCGATGGTTCGTCGAGTGGCAAACGCTATCCTCTATGGTGGTGTAGCATGCTGGTCCCGGACGTCGTGTGTACGGGGCCGACCGTGGTCTCGCTCGAGCCTCGAACACACACTGGAACACTGCAGGATCACGGTGGTTAGGGGACGCAAGTAGGGTTCCTCGGCGGTCCGATCTACAGCCTCTCCTTCGGGTTCGGCGACGGTCGGCGAGAGACGGCTGTTGCTCGAGAGGGTCGAGGGGGTGTCCAGGCTCAGGAACGACTGCTACGTCGCGTGGCCGACACGGCTCGGCTCGTACGCGAGATTCGCGAGGAAACGGCCAGCTTCTTCCCTGGCACTCATTCGAGCCAGGGCTCTCTCGGGCGACGCGGGATCCGTACTTTCACCTTTTGCGCCGGGCTCCGGAAGAACGGCAGGGGCCCGGCCGAGACACGGGGATCGTCGAACGAAACAAAACCAACGCGAACGAAACGAGGGGAAACGAGGGAAAAAATAAAGAACGAAGGAACGAAGCGAACGCACAACTCGCCCGTACGAAGGCGCCGCCGAACACGGCGCGGCGTTTCCTCGAACTAAGCCGCGGAAATGAGCGACATCGAGCGTGCGGGAACGAGCCTCGCTCTGTGAACACCAACAACACCGAGCACGACGACGACTCACGGCAAACTAAACCGAAACCCCGAGTGGGATATGCCCTTTCCCCTCCCGTCGCTCCCCTCCCTCGCTCTTTCCCGGTTATCCCTTCGCCGCGCAGCCCCTTCTCGGTCCCATCGCAGCCCCCTCCATCGTCTTTCTCTCCTGTCCTCCAGGCTGTACACACGCTCCTCGCTACGCCTGCCGTTTTCGTTTCCCTCCTCCCGTGCCCCCCTTCTCGATCGGTGCCTCCTTTGTCCTCGTCTCTCCCTCGCGGTTGCTCTCGCTGTCGCTCGCAGCCGCTCTCTCCTGCCTCCCCCCCCTCCGCCCCCCTTTCGAGCACCAAGTCGCACCGTGTCCGTAGAACTCGGGCTCGAGCTGCCGATGCCCGATGCCTAGCCTGCCTAGCCTGCCTAGCCTGCCGCCAGACCTGGCTCTCCGTGATGCTCGACTTGCCTTCGTCTTGCTTCGCCTCGCCTCGCCTCGCCTTGCCTGCCTTACCTCGCTTCGTCTTGCCTTGCTTCGTTTTGCCTTGCTTCGCCTTGCCTGCTCGCCTTGCCTTGCCTTGCCTTGCCTGTTTGCCTGCCTGCCTGCCTGTACGCGAGTCGTTTTTCTCTCCACTCCTCTATGCGCGCTCGCTTCTGGCCACCCCTCCTCCATTCACCGTGTGCTACACACACCGTCGAGTTAGACCGGGCACACCAACGTGTCCGACAACTCTCCCCCTTCACCCCATTGATGACTGCCGCGTTACCAGCCCGGTTACGAGCTCCCCCCTATTCGTTTGCGCCGATACCTCACCCTTCTCGCTAGTTACCCCTCTTTTTCTGTCATCCTTCTCGGTCTCTCCCCCTCTCCTCTCTTTCTCTCTCTCTCTCTCCAGCTTTCTCTTTTTACCTTTTCCATCTTTCTCCTGTTCCCGCTCCTCCCTGCTCCGCGCATCTCCGATTCCCTTTCGTAGCCGCGGACGCAGAAACGACCCTCCAAGCTCGCACGTATCCTTTCCCTTCTCCTCGTCTTCGTCTTCATCTTCGTCTTCTTCTTCGTTCCGATCGTAACCTCCAATTACAGCGCGCCGGGAACGGAAATCGGCACTCGAGACGCCGCCAGATGGATTTCCGCGTGTACCCGTGCCCGCTCGGAACCCGCGGCAAACCCGTTTGCGGTGGAAAACCAGCGCCCCGCGCCGTTCGGCGTCCTCCCGGCCGCCGCAGGACGCGCCACGGATCCCCGCCGCCGGATAAAACCAGATAGATTATGTGCACGCCGCCGGGAGTTTTATTGCCGATGTTAATTTCGCGTACCGTACGAGCCGAGGGCCCTCGCGGCCCTCGCGATATCGCCGCGCCGAGCCGCCGCGAGCCGCGTCGTCTTTTTGGGGTGCGTATCAGGTTTTATCGCGGGGGCTCGGCTTTCGATATCGCGCGTTCGACCCGGCCGCGCCACGGAAATCCGTGCCCCCTCGTGCTAATTAGAAAGCAAACCGATGGAAAACGCAGGCCGACGCGAACCCTCGGCCTTGATCCCCGCGGACACCGTGTCCGGGAAACCCTAAACGCTTTCGAGAGGCCTCAGCCAGCGCTTTTGAAACCTGTAAACTTGCCATTGACTCATTATTGAAATCCACACGTGCTTAATTGCCTTGAAGGAACGAGAACTTACAACGAAGACGAAGTATGCAAACCTACGGCGAAACTTGGGCACAATAAAGTCGGAATTGTCGGAACGGCTCTCGCCGTGAGTAAAGCTGTAAAAAGCTACAGTTTGTAGCCGAGCGATCCGGTGGACAAAGGAACTAGACAGAGAGTACAGAGAGAGGGAGGAGACAAAGAGAGAAAGCGCCTAGCTCCGTCCGGTGTCCCTTAATATTTCGTCGGTAAATCCGCTCATATTTTACCTGCATATTTTACCTGCAGATAGTGCCTCAGAGCTAATTCTATTTAATAACCGCCATAAAACGATTAAGGCCCGAGGTATCGAAGGTTAACGCGACGGTCATCGACGATCCCAAAAGTTGTCCTCCGACATGTTGACAACCCCGGCGATGCCCGGAATAAACGAGTGTTCAATGGGCGTGGCGATCGTGCCGAAAATTTCCGTGCACCCCAATACCTGGCTTTGTCCCGAGGACCCCCTGCGCACTAATTAATACAAACACCGGGGTCCCGTTCGGCAGTTAGCCACGGTCGCAGACCGCCATTCCGGTTCGCGAGCAGCACTCGGCGTTTTCGAGACGAACGAGACCGTTCGCACGCCGCCGGGAACGGCGGACATTAGCGAACTTGAATCGCGGCTCGCCGATAAGTAGCACGATTCAGGTGTTAAACGGGTAGCCGAGAGAATTCGGTCGAGCCGCGTCCGCGGATTCCTCCATGGCGGTGCCCGGGAGAGCCTTTGTTGCAACGGCACGGAGCTCGCCGCGATCCGCTGCTCCGCGCCATTTTGGTTCCTGCCGATAAACAGAGCGCGGATGCTTCGGCCTGGCTATCTAATCTAACGCTAAACGAGGTTGCGCAACGTTTTATCACGCGTCCATTCCATTACCGTCCTCTCTTATCGTCCGCGCGAGCCCTAACTCCGCCGCGCGCATGTGAGAAATATCTTTCGAAAGCATCTTGTCCTTCTCTCCGCTCGAAACCGAAGCTTGGCACGACCCGAACGCCCGGATACGCGAGCGGACAGAATCGCGGATTCTAGGATCTCCGACGAATTCCGCTCGGATATCCGTCGCGACGATAGCCGTCGCACGCTGAAACAACCGTCGTTCGTTTCGCCTCGGTCGGTGTGTTTAATTAATATCGCTCGTCCCGACTGCTTTCTCTGCCGCGTTACATGTTGACTTTGTTCTTACTTCGCCGCACCCGAAGCCTTTTACTTTCCACGGCAAACATATTCAGCGGGAGCCGGCAACAAAGACGACATTGTAATCATCGTTATTTCCGTTCGCGTATCGCGGTAGCCGAATGCGAGTCTTCGTGTGCAAGTACAGCGTACAGATCTCCGTGACGTGCACCCGCTCGCTATTTGCGCGTATGGCGCGCTTGCGCTGTCGAATAATCTTTCAATCCGCCAACGCTCTCGTCTCACCGGAGACACGTAGTCTTGACGATCCTCGGGGGGCTATTATTAGAAATCCGGCGAGATTGGCGTTGGTCAGGCGTGAAACTCGGTTTAAAAAGAGCACCGGCACTCGGACGTGGTGTCCCGGACAAGCCGAGGCTCGGTTTCTTTGCCCCGAAAACGGCTTCATCGATTCGCGCCACTCACGGCGCTATTTTACCACGTCACCGTCCTCGTCTAGGCCGCACGATCTCGCGACGAGCGAGAAGCGAAACGCTCGCGATCCCCCGGCGACCGGCCGAATTCGCGGGCAAAGGGGCCGAGGAATTCGGGTAATTTCGGGGAACGACGCCGCGGGAACCAAAATGGTGGACGCGGTGTCCTGGCGGCTCGGCGGCGGCAGTCGGCGACGATGTCGTCGCGTCGAACGGACGGACGCGGCCTGCTGCTACCAAAGAGCACAAGGCCTACAACTACAAGAGCAGCATCTTTCTTGCGCGCCGAACGCGTTGCGACAATGCGCATAATTAATCTCCCCGGCGCACAATGACGCGCTCGCATTCATGCGCGCGGAGATTACGCGCCGGCGATAAATCCTTCTACCTGCGGATGAAAAATCCGCCGCGCCGCTTCCGTGTCTTTGAACTTCGCGGCCAAGCAACCTGCCTCCGCGTACCTAATCCCGCTCGGGAATATTAATTAGCGTCGCGATAGACGGCCGAAATTTTTTCAACCGCCGGACCGTGACGAGGGTGGGGACCGGGCAGGGGGGTAGTTCTCTCGGTGCCCCCGACGAGGTTTCGGTGCCCTCGAACGAGGGTGCCGGTGCCGGCAACATTAATTTACGGGCGTTTTTAATTACACCAGTCAGCTATGAGCCAACTAGCGGCAACACTCCCACCACGGCGATCGACCTTCCAATCCTGACACTCCCTGGGTGTACTTTAAGAACTCTGTTCCCCCTTCTCTGCCTCTCCTCGAACAGCCGGAGGATGCCGACGAAAATATTCGCATGGTGCGTGCGTGCGTCCCGTTCCCCTCCAACCCTCGCACGGTCGCCCTCTTTCTCTCTCTCTTTCTTTTTCTCTCTCTCGCTCTCGCTCTCGCTCTCTCTCGCGCCCTTTCTCTCTCTCCCCCGGCTCTCTTCCCCCCGAGCTCTCCCCCCGTGGCGTACAAGCATCTCGTTCGGGAACACCGACCGAGGCGAGGGCTTCCTCCCGAGGCTTTCTCTGGAAAGGATCCCTTGGAGGGCTATCCCCACCAGGGCCACCGTCGGACGGATGGTCGGTCGTTTAGCTGTGGAACGCGGCTCGAATCACGAGCGAATGAGACGCCGCTAGATCAGCCGTCTCCTCGGCTATCTCTCCCTTGATCCTTGCTCCGCTTCCGAGGCCTCGCTCGTTCTTTGTCCACCGTTCCTCGAATCGTTCCCTTCTTCGTGCACGGTGCCTTCGTAGGTGATACGTGGGCGGCCCCCGGATCCTCGGCGTTCGGCCCGAGGACACACACGCACGCTTCCCGCGCGCGCTCGTGCGCCAGGAAACGTTACAGTGAGCCTGCGCCGCGTTATCGGTCGATACACGCTTTTGGGAAACCTTCCACGTGTTTCGGGCTGCCGCGTGACCGATCCTTCGACTGGCTGGCCACCACGGGGGGGCACAGGGCGCTGATTGAAACATCGTTGCCATCAGAGGTGCCGGTTTCGGCACACAAGCGGGCAAAGGTATCGCGAAGAGGGAACTTTGGGAACGGGAGCGACGATGACATCCCACAGGTTCTTCTCTCGCTTTAGCATGAAATCTAACATCTTTTCGCAACGCTGAATAGGAACGCGTCGATCTTCTTGCCGGAAGACCGGCGTTGCTTCGCGAGTTCGCGAAGGCGACGAAAGAGGCCGGAGGTGCGACCAGAGTTTCGACATCGGTCGATCTCTTTTTTTCTCGGGGATCCACGGGGTTCGCGGACGGACATCG